TCCCCTGATAGCCCTGATCTGGGTGAGCAACATACTCAAAAATCACCCAGATCGGATCAGGGGTCCGGGAGTTACAGTGGTATGTTCGTATGACCGACCGCACAGGAGTGAGTAGCCGAAATTAGATCCACACATTTTGGCCTTGCGGTCGGTCTACTTTCAGCGGGTGAAATGCACGAAAATACTGGGGTATATGGCTTAGGCTTGGGTTCCGATAAATCCCCTTGTTCATGGGTTTATTTCTACCATACGGTGGGCCGTTCGGAAGTTTACATACGAACTGATGGAAGTCTGGAGGTTTCAGCGGTGTTCACGTAGTTGAGTGTCCGATTTGGGTTCCAGATACTCGACGACCAAACACTGCTGATCTTTCGTGCGGCAAGATGGCCGCCGCCACGTGTTCATATGCCGAACGAGGCCACCTAGAAACACATAATACATTCGTCTAATTGCTAATGATGTGGTTAGAACGTTGATGTGGGAGGTAAATGCTGGGCACACTTCACTCTGGGGAGGTCTGGTTGTTTGGTAGTTTGTTCGTATGTCGAACGGAGGAGTTCTTACCGAACAACCAGACGAATGCTACATACAGTGAACAGATACACAGGGAATACAGCTAAAATAACATTGTAACAAAAAACCGTGGGGACAGCCCAATGCAATCCGCTACACATAGGACTTTCTATGTTAGGATAAGGGTGTTGGAAGTAGTGTTAATTTTGTCGACTAACAATTTTAGTCAAATTTTAGTTGACTAAAATGTTGGAGGTTTAGTCGACTAAAACTAGACTTAAACTCAAACAATTCAGATGACTAAAACACTACTAAAACTAAAATAGCATTTTAGTCAAAAGATTATAATTAAAGCTAAATTGAAATTTACCACCAAAATTAACACTGCACATAGGGCTGTGGAAGGGGCAAAAGAGATAGACCAGGGCTTGGAAGAGAGACACCTATAGGGGCTGGGAGGACACAAAGAGACACAGAGGGGCTTGGGAAGGGGCAAAAGAGACAGACCAGGGCTTGGAAGAGAGACACCTAGAGGGCCTGGGAGGACACAAAGAGACATAGAGGGGCTGGGGAAAGGGCAAAAGAGACAGATAGAGGCTTTAACTAACCCGATTAAATTTTAGTTGCGTCAACTAAAATCTACTGGAGATTTAGTCGACTAAAATCTACTGGAGATTTGGTACTTTACAATTTCCAGTTGGGTCCAAATCACTCTTCAATCAAGAGTTCCCGTGTGACAACAGTAATGCTAAGTGCAATAACAATTAAACATATCTTAACTCTGAATTTGGCATTACATATCCCAGACAAGTAAATGTTTTATACACGGAAACAAAAATATATCTGGTCATTTGAAAGTCGAAGATAAAATAAAGAATTGGCATCAAGAATGCAACCTGAAAACCATCCAGCTACTAAGCCACTAGAAATCTAGGTCTTTGCTACTCCTGCAGGGTTAGATGTTCTCAAAGGAATTAATGAAAAAAAAGCAGAACATTGAAAATTTATTTGAAGGAAGCCCCGTGAGGATAAAATACGAGTTTTCTTCCTACATTAATAATTACCCTTGTATACGGAATGCGGACAGTACTTGCATGGCACAAGAAAATAGCCACCTTGGCTTTAGGATTACAACCAGAGATATAAAAATAAAAATGCATGCGTTCATTTTCATTTCTGTTTTTTCAGCATGTGCTAGTGTTTTATGTATAATACACATTAATACTTCTTTTATCCCTTTCCATCGGACGTGCCATAATTATCTAAGCATCTGCCATTTTTTTTTTGCCCCGTGGCTCAGTTGTTCCTTATGTTGCTCCTCTATTTTCTGACTTCAATTACTTGTAGCTTAATTTCCTAATACATTTTTAAAATATGAGGGAAAATAACAATTCACAAAGCGCAGTAATAATACATTAAAGAGGAACTGTTCAATCACAAATTTTAGCACAACCTAACACTAGTGATGTCCCGAACGGTTCGCCGTACGGTTCGCGAACGGTTCGCCACGGACTCATCATTGAGTAAACTTTGACCCTGTACCTCACAGTCAGCAGACACATTCCAGCCAATCAGCAGCAGACCCTCCCTCCCAGACCCTCCCACCCCCTGGACAGCTCACTAAGAATGCAGCTTCACAATGAATGTAAAATGGATGCTGTCCAGGAGGTGGGAGGGTCTGGGAGGGAAGGTCTGCTGCTGATTGGCTGGAATGTGTCTGCTGACTGTGAGGTACAGGGTCAAAGTTTACTCAATGATGAGTCCACGGCAAACCGTTCGCGGTGAACCGTTCGCGAACCGTTCGGTGAACCGTTCGGGACATCACTACCTAACCACAAATAAAAGTTAGCTATTTGTTCTGTTATATTTTTACATAATATTCACAGTTTACATTGTTAAATGAATAAGGAACTGCCACTTCTGGAAGTAATAGGTTCTCTTTAGACTAAGACGAAAAACACTTTAAGAAAGTTATATGAAAGTAAAAAAGCAAGAAAATCTAAACAGGGCTATCCACTAAAGTGAGAATTGCAGGACAGTGAATTCAAAAGCTATTTCAAGTTTTAGACTAAAAACATCCAAGACAGAAGCAGTGGCTGAACTAGCGTGGTCGCAGGGGTCACGGCTGTGACGGGGCACGTCACTCCAGGGGGCCCGGCTGCTCTGTTGACCCCTGTGACTGCCGGCTAAGTAACACAGCCCTGGCCCGCGCGATAGAATCACCAGGGCCGCGCATTCAGGGGCCCATCGGGTGGCCCATGCTGTTAGGGCCAACCAGTGCTATGTATTTCCAGGGGACCCGGTGGCGCTTAAACGGCGTGACTGGTCCCTCTTTGATGAGGTCAGAGGCTGGGAGGAAGTGACTGCCCCAGGAGGAGGAAGTTGAGGAGGGAGTCAGAGTGGGAACTTTGACTGCTATCAGGCTGAGCCAAAGGACCCCAGGAAAAGTCACCCTCCTGCAACTAAAAGGTAGGAGACAAGAGGGTGACTAAACCATTTTGTATGTGTCTGTATATGTGTGTGTTTGTATGTGTGTATGTTTGTGTATTTGTGTCTGTATAAATGTTTCTCTGTATGTGTGTGTGTGTATGTCTTTCTGTGTGTCCGTATGTATGTGTGTGTGTGTATGCCTTTCTGTGTGTCTGTATGTATGTGTGTGTGTTTGTCTGTGTGTCTGTATGTATGTGTGTGTGTTTGTCTGTGTGTCTGTATGTATGTGTGTGTGTATGTCTTACTGTATGTATGTATGTATGTCTGTGTGTCTGTATGTATGTGTGTATGTTTGTCTGTGTGTGTGTCTGTCTGTCTATGTAACTGTATGTGTGTCTGTCTGTGTGTGTGTTTGTTTGTATGTATGTGTTTATATGTATGTGTGTGTGTTTGTATGTATGTGTGTATGTGTGTTTGTTTATATGTATGTGTATGTGTGTGCCTGTATATGTGTGTCTCTGTATATGTTTGTGTCTGTATATGTGTGTTTGCATGTGTATCTGTTTGCATGTGTGGGGGGAGAGGGGAATGTATGGGAGGGTAACTGTAGACATATGGGGGGAGGGTGGCGGGATTAGACATACAGGAAGGGTGGGGGGCAGGACAATTTTCGTACCGGGCCCCGTGGTTTCTAGTTACGCCTCTGGACTGAAGTATAGCTGACTTAAAGAATCTTTGCAGTTTGGCTATTTTGGTCTTAAATTTGAAGCTAACTTTAAATACACTTTGAATTTGCTTTGAATTAGTAAATAACCCTAATAGAGTCAATTAAAAACTGCTGCACTACTGTTTACTGCTGTTTACCTAAAATGTAAAAATGCCAAAGATTTATGTACAAAAAAAAGTTATTTTTATAAACAAATTTTCCTTTTTTCTAAAACGAGAGAACTGACCAGTGTGATTTGAGTGTGCAAATATTGTATCTTTATTTGTGATGCCAAGGTAGTCAATATATGTCGGTCCCATTTTAACATGTACAAGCAAGCTTCTCTTTGAGAACTAACCCTGATTCATTATGCTACAAATGAGAAAAATTGCTAAGAACACATCTTTACTTCCTGGTATGAAGTTTTGTTGTTCGAAAATTCAAAGTGGGAGAGCACACCCCAAATTGTGTTTGTCCCACAAACAGCTTTAAATTTTATTGGGTCTATGTGGATACAATAAAATTAATTTTATTCCACTTTTCTTTACACCAAATACCAATTTAGTTTTGCAGCACCAAGATCGCTTGCATTTTTTCCTGCTGTTTCAAGGAGTATAACTCTGTGAAATGATGCAGGAAGTTCTCATGCTTTGCATGCTCATGCATTGCATAAGGACGTCCAGCATCTTCAAAGTCCCTATAGGAAAACATTGAATCATGCGCATCAGGTTCCCCCTCGCAATGACATCAGAGGAGGCAGCGCGCCAAGGGAGCTGGGTTCTTGATTAAAGTAACAAAAAACATTTTTTTAACCATTCATTGCGGCAAAGGGGAGAATATGGGCAGAAGGAGCAGAAGGAGCAGAAGGGGCAGAGGGAGCAGAGGGACAATATTGTGTTAGGAATACAGCATAGCATTCCTAACACTATGGTCTTCCTTTAATAAACACAGAGGTACATTACCTATCTCTATTAGCTTTTTAATATATCCACATGGTCCATATTGCTGCTTTACAGCCTTTCCCCAAACTATTTGAAATTCACCAAAAGTGAAAATGACCAACTCCCATTCCTCATGCCTGGAACGAAAAAAACAAAATCTTCTAAATTCCCATTATTCTTGGTTTAGACTGTTCAGAAATAGGAAATATGATTAGAGAATTGGTCAAAAATGTATTAGTGAGAAGGGTTTGATAGTTTATATAGGCTTGATAGACATAGATGTGATAAGGGTAGGATATGAGAAATGTAATAAGACATTAGACATGATGGTGGAACTTTTTCCTAGGAGAAGACCTCCACGATGGCTTTCCACGAGGAAGGATTAGCTGTTTTTCTTTTTCCTGTGTTTCAGGTAGCTGACTTCCAAAGAGATCTTCATCAGAGGATGAGGAGATAGCCAGAGATATTTGAAGACACATCAGACAATTTATGTATGCAAGAAAGCATTCAATAATCCTACAACACCATGCTGTCCCACTTTTTGTCCTTTATGTTCCGTTGAGCATCTTTTTTCACTTGTTTTTTTCAGTCTTTCAGTTGCAGTAAATGTATAATGGTTTGTAGACTCTCTGAGCAGATCAACACTTAGCTATACATTTTTCTTATTTATCAGCATCATTGTGTATGTTTACTTGATGACTTTTAGTAATGCTATAAACTATATGCCTGATTTGCATTTATATTGTATATGTAATCACAAACATGTTTGTTTTATATGCGGCTCCAGTAACTGAGAATGTTGGATTTTCTATCTAAAACGATGGGACAAATGTTTTACTCAAAGAGTTTTCTTCTACCTTCCCTTGCTGATCCTTGTAGTTTTAAAACTACAACCATGCTGTACATCCGGTGCATCGAAGCTCTTACTGATTAACTACAAGACAGGACCGATAGCTTTCACACAAATGGGTGCCATGGCTAGATTATATGATTACTAGGCACTGTCACGCCAAGGGTGCAAAATTCATTGTTACACAATAAAATATTGCCATTTAATGTAATTTGTGTAGTGCATATATGAATTGACCACTTGGTTTTCTTGTTTCCCCCCTAACTATTTTAAGGGTGAGGGTAGTAGGTAGGGTTTAATTTTATTGGGGTGGGAGGTGATTTAGGGTTTTGGGACCCCTATTCACATATGGGAGGGGGATTTTTACATTTAGCCCCCACCTGTCGCCAATGGGTGGAGGTAAAGGGGGACAATAGATCCCCCCCTTGTGCTACATAGGGCCCCCACCCGACACTCATGGGTGGGGGCCAGAAGGGCATAGGCAATATGTACCCCCCCTCCTCTTTTTACTTAGGGTGGGACATTAGGTCTACTCTTTAATTAAGTAGAGTCCCCACCTGCCGCTCATGGGTGGATCCCCCCCCACCATGGGGGAATGGGGAGACCTGTGCCAGGATCCCCCTTATTACACTAGTGACTTGGCAGTGACAATAGCTGCCCAGTCACTAATAGTTTTATACTTGTTTAGGCAACATGCCCCTACTCACGGCATGCCGCGAGTAGAGGCATGCAGGAGTATTTAAGCTCCTTTTTAACCTCCCTTTTTAAAAAAAAAAAAAAAAAACGAATTTTCTGACGGAATCATATTCATACAAAAATTAATGCACATGTCTACAGTCAATCATTTCATGCAAATTCACTTGAAGTTCCTAAGTTCTAGGTACAAGTCCATGTGGATTTGACAGAAATCTAAATTGTGCATAAACATTTTTCAGTAAAGCACCAGATTGGCATTTGCTTGCCTGAGGGTAGGAATACTTGGTTGGATATACGTACTGTAGGTTTCAGTTACAGACCCAGGCATAGCATTGGATAGTCTTGTAGTACGGACTGTATGCATTCAATTTAGTTGTCTGTCATTAGCCCACGCCACATTGTTGCTTTTCGGTTTCACTCATTCAGTTACTGTTATCAGAGTGAGGGGAGTTTGACATATGTTTCTTATATAGTTCTACTCATACACCAATGGATGTGTAACTAAGCAATAAGTAATGACATTGCAGTTTGTGTTGTAGCTGGTGGCTGAATTTTGGATCTCAAATTGCAGAGCCCGGGGAGTCATAGGACAGGATATTGCTTCCTTATGGTGGTCAGAGGGCCTTCCTTCTTGGGGCAATATAACAGATTTTGTATTTAATTTTTTTTTTTTTTTTTAAAGGGCACAATTTTATTTATTTATTTATTTTACAACAGTCAAAGTGACTTTAGGAAAATCTTATTTCAAACCTTGGAATTCAGCGGAGATTTAGAATTCAGTTGAATGTAAGGTGAATACACATTTCCTGTTACTTTAAAGCTTGCTGAGTGGGGTCATAAAAGGTCAAGAGATGCCATAAAATTGTCCAGTATTTTCTTGGAATTTACTCTTAGTAACATCCTGCTGGATGTGAACATATGAAAACATAAATTAGGAACTTTCAAAAATGTCACGGTCGAGTACCAAACTCTACAATCATATAGTCTTACCAATGGAAAACAAATGTCCTGTTGGGTTAAAAACACAACGCTATATTAATCTCAGGTGATGTTAGTCGGGGATTGGACAGCTTGGTAAAGGGATGCAGATATAGGAATAAAGGCAAGGGATGTAATAAATAAATACATTCAGCTGTACATTTTCTAACAATTTGGCTAACACACGGTATAAAATATGCTAATTTTTTTTTAAAGCAAGACCAAAGAGACCAATCTACTCATAAATCACAGAAATCTAGAAGTTAATAAATTATTACAATTTTTTTCCTTTAGTACTTCTATAATGTATTATTCAATAAGAGTGTTGTTAATAATGTCCATATTTGTTGAAACATATTAACAACATCGATCTGTTGTAACACATATGCTGATATATGCTAATATGACTATGCAAATTAGTTTTTTTAATTTTTTTTAAATAAGGGTTATTTCTTGGGGAAATTAATTTTTCTCTGCACACTTTATTTCTCTCTTTCTCACTATAGCTAGATTATATTTGCTATTTTCCTTGGTACCCATTGCAGCGTGTGCAATTGATATAGCTCCGCCCACTAAGAAAAGACGGGAAAAATAATAAAAGTCTATAACGAGGCCACCTTGTCATGCGACCTTCAGTCATTTTCCTTGCACTCATATGCATATGTGCTTCTTTTAAAAAAAAAATGCAAAGATAGGGGATGCTATTTAGATTGGTTAGGGATCATCCCCTATCTTTGCATATTTTTAAAGGAGCACAAAGAATTGGAATTTGTAGGAGCAGAAAGAGTATACAGGAACTGCAGAGGGTAAGAGTTTGTGTGTAAAAAGCAAACACGGAGAGCAGAATTATTTTAGATTAGTCAACCAGTTTGGTCCTCAAAGGAAACTTTTTTATTTTCTGCGACAATTATTTTTGTTTTCTCTTTGACAGAAGTTTATTGATTTCAATACAACGTCTATAGTCAGGCATGTTCTTGTAGGTTATGACTCGGAACACATGTTTACAGCGTGACTACGGTGAGTATTGTTTCAACGAGAATTCAAGTCCTAATCATACATATCACTCTGTGTGCCTTTATGACGTCTTCTAATCTAGACCCACAGTTTACAACTAAATATTTTACTGTTACGTAACATGCATATAGGGCTGGCCTTTGGGATATGTGAGTTGTTCAGCTACAAAGGGCATTATTATGCCATTCCTGTATCGAAGAAGCATCTGCTTGAGTTGAGAAAGACCCCCAGCTTAGCAATCCATCAGCATGCTGGAAGGGAATTGAATGTGATTCTCTTAGACACAATATAATATACAGCTTCTGGAAAACATATACACAAATTATGAGTTTGTACATTAGTCTTATTTATTGCATTTGTTGATTTAAAATATAATGACTGTAGAGTAGGTTTAGGCAGATGAAATATCAGCCTCCCCCTGAGTAAATCATTACATCTCAAATTACTCCGTCATAGCCTTTTTTACTTATTATAATGAAAAGTTATGTTCAAAAATATAGACCACTTAATCTTTTCAGAAAAGTATGTTTAACAAGACATACCTGAAAGGTTCTCACCACGGGGTCAATTATCTTATCTGACACCATTTTAACAGGCAGTGTGTGCAGTTTACCTGTGTAGTATGTAATACAATATTATCAGGGTGCTTTGTTCTTATAATGACTCACCTGCCGTGTCTGACAGACTGAACTGATTAATAAAAGAATCCCACAATTCTGACTCACAGCTATAAACAACATATATTTTACTCAGATGTAATACTTTCATTTCTTTAAATTATGCGTCCCTTGTTTGCCTCAAGTGCCAGAAGGTTAGTACACACTTTTGTCATTGGCCATTTCATTTTTTACTTGAAATCACTATTCTGGTTCCTGAGCCAATGCTTGCTAGAGGTTGGTCTTTCAATAGTTTAGATATTGTCTCCTTTGTGATGATAAATCTCGAAATCACGATGGTATAAAAGTTACAGTTTATGGCATTACTGAATAGAACGTTTAATGTAGTTATTTTGTTAGTACTGTTGCATTATAGTAATATTATTGTTAGTATTACTGCAAGGGTAGTTGCAGTAGCCTCAATGCCCCCAGACATTTTTAGAATACAAAACAACCACATTAATTAAACAATAGTTATTCCCAGCAATGCTTCCTTCAAGTGGACAAGTGTTGAGGAAGTCCCTAAAGGTAGGTAGCAACAATGAATGTGATAGGAGTGTGTGCATCATGGACACCTGACCTCCAGCATTGCAAAAACATATTGAGTATTCACATCCTCATGACAATGAAACCTTGATCTAGCCATTAAAGGTCAAAATACTAGAAGACTAGTAGTGTTTATGCCATCTGTTACCAAAGGGGAGAAGCAGGAGCTAAAGAACAGGCAACTAGGTTGAATCTTATTGACTAGTGTGGCTTAATAAAAGACAAGAAGCATTGGTAAACAGAATGGCCACCTTAGTGCTCCCTAGGAAAGCAGCAATGTGCGAAGTGATTCAAGGGGGAGCGAGGTGTTTGCTCTGGGGAAGAGTAATTTAGAGAATGACAGTTGTGACTAGTATGGCATTACATTATATCTATTATGTTGCCTAGGAATATTTTTCTTTAAATATTTAGTGTCAATTAATGTAATTGTAAATGGGAAGAAATTGTTCCTATAATCTAAAAAAAAATAGAAAAATTACCAATTATAGGGCACAGGAAGGAAGGAATCTATGGGACTTCTAGTAGATATACCACAACCTACAACCCTTGTTAGTTACTTAGACCCAATCTCTCCAAAACAGAACTTCTCATCTTTCCTCCTTCAAATGCTGCTGTTCCCATGCCTTTTTCCCTTCAAGTCAATGGCGCTACCAGCAGCTCTACCTCACAGGCTCACTGACTTGGCGTTCTCTTCTATTTTAACCTCTCCTACAAGGTGTTAACCCCTTAAGGACCAAACTTCTGGAATAAAAGGGAATCATGACATGTCACATATGTCATGTGTCCTTAAGGGGTTAAAGGCACCAAACAGCCAATCGGAATATAGCTTCAATTTCAAAATGTTCTGTTGTAGTATTTTTAATCCTTCCTCTCTGTAGCAGCCATTACTTTCTGTATCTAAAATGCAGGGCTTCTCACGGCAGTAAAACTAGGAACAGACACATCTTATAACATTTATGTACATATCCTTATTCATCTCAACTATTAGACATAAACGCTATTTACATTAAGTCTTTACTAACACTTTAGGAAATGCCCTCATTTTGAAACATAGTCCCCAGACTATTGACCTCAGCAAGAATCTCTGTGGTAACCGGAGACTAAACTGTATATATTTAGCAGTCCGAATCAGACACAATATTACTAAGTGGAGAAGAAGAATTAAGATCAACAAACACAAAAAGGAAATACATTTTCACAACAATTCCCAAATCGGGACCTATATACTTACAGGGTTATCACTAAAGTATGAACTGACAGCTATTGCTAAGAAA